TAATGAAATAAATATGGCAAAATGGTAAGACTTGACCAAACTGATATTTAAGTACATAGGCATTTGTCATATCATTTTTGATACTTTCATGTATTTGTCTAACTTTTTTTTTTTTTTTTGAGATGGAGTTTCACTCTTGTAGCCCAGGCTGGAGGGCAGTGGCACAACCTCTACCTCCCGGATCAAAGCGATTCTCCTGCCTCAGCCTCCCAAGTAGCTGGGACTACAGGCACATACCACTACACCTGGCCAATTTCTTGAAATTTAGTAGAGATGAGGTTTCACCATGTTGGCCAGGTTGGTTTTAAAGTCCTGACCTCAGGTGACCCATCCACCTTGGCCTCCCAAAGTGCTAGGATTATAGGCATGAACCACCACGTCCAACCCTTCTTTAAACTTTTTATTTTGACCTAATTTTAGACTTACAGGGAAGCTGCAAACATAGTACAGGGTATCCATATACCTCTTGGCTTACACCCCTAATGTTAACATCTTACACAGCCATAGCAGAATGATCAGACCAGGTATTAACTTTGGTACAACATGATTAGCTAAAACAAAGATGATATTGGAATTTCCCATTTTTCCACTAGTGTCCTTTTTTCATTCTACAGTTCTCTCTAGAATCACACATTGCATTTACTGGTTCCTTCTCCTTAGTCTCTTGCAGTCTGTGACAGCACTTCAGTCTTTCCTTGCCTTTCTTGACCTGACACTTGTCAGTTACTTTGTCATATGTCCCACAGTTGGAGTTTTGTCAGATTATTTCTCATGATTAGGTTGAGATTATACATTGTTGGCAAGAACACCATGGAAATGATGCTGTGCCCTCAGTGCATCCCATCACAGGTTCAGGACGTCTCTTTCTTGTACACTTAAAATATTTCATAATTTTGATAAATGAAAAATAAATAAGTAGCTGTATTAGCCTGGGTTCTGTAGAGATACAGATCCAATAGGAGATGGATAAATGGATGGATGAAAGGAAGGAAAGAAGGAGAAAGAAGAAAGAAAAAGGAAGGAAGGAAGGCAGAAGGGAGGGAGAGAAAAAGAAATAGAAAAGAAAAAGATTTTAAGGAATTGGCTGATGCAGTTATGTGGGCTGAGAAGCCCCAAGATTTGCTAACTGCAAGCTGGAGACCCAGAAAAGCCAATGACATAGTTACAGTCTGAGTCTGAAGGCTTCAGAAGCAGGAGAGCTGATAGTGTAAGTGCCAGTCTGATTCCAGGAGCAAGGAAGGACTGTGCAAAATCTCCTTCACTCAGTGTTTTGTTTTACTCAGGCCTCAATGGATAGGATGATGTTCACCCACACCGGGAAGGGCAACCTGCTTTACTGGGTCTACTTATTCAAATACCAGTCCATACAGAAACACCATCGTGGACACCCCCAGAATAATGTTGAACAAATATCCGAGCACCACATGGTCTAGCCAAGATGGTACATAAAATTAAGCATCATAACAGCTTAACTTCTAAATTAGAAACTTCCTACTCTGTATATTTAGGTTCAAAATCCCATCAAGTCAAATGGATCTTAGGAAGTGTTCCAATTCTTAGTTATTATTGGCTTCAGGCCTAAGACATTATAAATCCACAACATACTATCATTTCCAAAACTTCAAGAAGCTTTATTATAGTTGATCTTGCTTCAAGAAAAAAGGTAGTTTATACTACTTAGATAATGTAATAATTGTAATCCAAGAGAAGTTAGACCTGCAAGTCAAATTAAGGGCCTAAGAAAGAAATTAACATTTGAGCTGTATTGTTAATGAGGACCCCTAAGTCCCCTGATCTTCTTTTGGAGGTGAAGTTACCATTTAGAATTGACTACATTTCTCAGCATGGCATCCTAAGAATAACGTGTGTCATTGCTATTTCTATGATGCTTTAGAAAGGAAAACCTAAATGATTATATGGTTTTCTAGGGCAAGAAAAGTGTGTTTCAGGTACTTTCACTACCTGAGTTGTATATTTTAAAAGTTGTATACACATACAGAGAGAGAGAGAGAGACAGAGAGAGAGAGAGAGAGAGAGAGAGAGAGAGAGATTATAGAGAATATATCTGATATGGTTTGGCTATGTCCCCACTCAAGTCTCAAATTGTAGCTCCCAAAATTCCCTGGTGACGTGGGAGGGACCTAAATAATATTTCAAGTTTTCTCTGAGGTTGCCTCCCTTTGAAGCTTTTCTGTCCTCGGGATCACTCTAAACTTTGGTGGTTTAGGCTGGGAAATCATTTCTTCCTTAAATGTTTATATTGAGTTCAAAGTGCTCCATTTCCATAAGTAATGACAACACAGAGTTTCTCCCCCAGCTCCGCTCCAGCTGCATGGAGAGAAAGCTACTTATGAATTCTTTTCTAGGCCCCCAGAGTTCTGAAAGACAGTCTCTGAGTTTTTATGAAAAGCCAGAGCAAAGACTCCAGATCCCATTATGCCAAAGAGAAAGCTGAATGCTTATTTTAAATCTCATTTTGGCATGCCCCAAATGTGGACACCATTGTTAGGCCAGTCCTGTACACCATATGTATCTCTTGCAAGTCTCTTAGAACATGCTGTTCCCCTCAAGGAATCTTCCAAAGAAGCAGAACATGGGATTATTTTGGCCTGAATCAACTCCCCCAGGAATCTTCCAGGGAGGAGGTGGGTGGTCAGCCTCCTGAGACAAGAGTGTGTAGAGGTTAGGACATGGGCTCTGAAGCCAGACTTCCTATGTTCGAATCCGGGTTCTTGGGTTTATTATCGGGAATGTGAGAGAGTTATACAACCATTCATGCCTTGGTTCTTCCTTCTATTGAATGGGGCATATGACGATACTTAACTGATTGAGTTGTTGTGGGGATTAAACAAATGACACATATCAAGTGCTTAATACAAGACCCAGCATATAAGAAGTGTTAAATAAGTGCTAGGGAAAATTAGCTAGGCATGGTGGTGTACACCTGTAGTCCTAGCTACTTAGGAGGCTGAGGAAGTTTCCTTGAGGCCAGGAGTCTGAGGCTGCAGTGCTATAATGGCATCACTGAACTCCAGCCTGGGCAACAGAGTGGGACCCTGTCCCTAAAAATAAAAAATAATAAAACAAATAAAGTAAATGCTTCGGAACATGTTGCTTCTGACTTAAACAGCTTCCAGGATTAACCCAGGTCCACAATCACCCAGGGGAGTTGTGGGCAGTCTGTGAGCACTTGCCAGGCTGCACCTGTTGGGTAGTAGAAGCTGCTTCTTTCCAACTCCAAGTCTGCCTATTTCTTCTATCATGTCATCAGAATTCCTTAAACAATCTTACTTAACAGAGCCTACAAATTTAAGCCATTTCTACAGTGAAAACCCTGAGAGTGAGTCATGGCAAACTTTAGCTGTAATCTTGTTAAATGGAAAAGGAGACAGACAAATATTTGGAAACAATCTTAAGAAAGTGATAGATTCTAATGCTTTGAGGTTCTTTTAGGTCAAATAAGTGTTTCCTGGCTTTCTGCTCTCCATTTGTAAGTGTGTGTGTGTGTGTGTGTGTGTGTGTGTGTGTGTGTGTGTGTGTATTTATACACATGCCCCCTTATTTAGAGCTCTAAATCTCCTAAGGATGGGAACCTTCTTAGACAGCCACCTGACAAGAGAAGTAACCTCCATGCATTCATCCTTCTACCCTCAAGAGGGTTGCTCTTCAGTCTGGAATGATATGGGCATAGAATATTTTGGAAGCAAAGGGACAGATTCTGTGGATTTATATCCCCCTTTTTCCTTTTCTCTTTCCATATTCCTAGTTCACACTCAGTTCTTTGTGTTGCCAAGGTAACCAACAGTCTCAGAGCACAGAGTTCTGACAGTTGGACTTTTAGCCACTGAGACTCAGGATATGAAGGATTTCTGATGTCTCCCCTGTTTGCCTCAGGAGTTAGCAGCACTTCTTCCATGTGGGCAGCCACCAGGGCAGTGTATGACAGTTGTGTCTGTGTGTGTGTGTGTGTGTGTGTGTGTGTGTGTTTGTGTGTGTCTGTTTGTGTATGTACACACATGTGTTCTTCAGTCCTACTAACTCTGGGGCTTCACAGAAAAAGCTGTACTAAAAAGTGTCATCAGACAGTGGGAAGATGGGCATCTAAATAGCAAAACCTTTCTGGAAAGTAATTTGGTATCAATTTAGCACAGGATTGTGATATATTTGTGATGTTTGGTCCATTAATCCTACATATAGAAAAATAAGAGACACAGTCAAAGATTTACGGAAAAGCAGTTTTACTACAGATTTATTTGGTAAAAACAATAACTCCCACCTAATGATCATTAATAAGAAGTGGTTACAAATTGCAGAGTAACAAACATATATATATGTTTGTTTTAGGCTCTGCTATAAAATAATCTCAGTTTCAACAGACATGACAGCCACATTCACATATATGTATATGTGGATATATTATGTAAGTATACAGATATATATGTACATTTATGTAAATAGAAAAGATAAGAAAGTCCATCAAAATGTTTTGATAGTTATCATTACCTTTAGAAGGTGGGGCTATAGCATATTTGTTTGTATCTTCATATGTTTCTATATTTTTCCAATTGTATATGATAATCATCTTTTCATGATACAAGATCTTACAAGTGTAGTAGGACAAATGATGAGAGGTGGACATGCTTAGGAGAAAGGATTATAACACAATGAAACAAGTTTTGAAAGGCAGAGGGCTGCCTCTTTTGCCCTTCACTGAGAGATTGTAAAAACAGGATAAGAATTCTATCTAAAAGGGGTAGTTCTGAATAGAAAAGGGAATGGGGACGGGCATGGTGGCTCATGCCTGTAATCCCAGCACTTCGGGAGGGCAAGGTGGATGGATTACCTGAGGTCAGGAATTTGAGACCAGCCTGGGCAACATGCTAAAACCCCAACTCTACTAAAAATACAAAAATTAGCTATGTGTGATAGCAGGCACCTGTGATCCCAGCTATTCGGGAGGCTGAGACAGGAGAATCACTTGAACCTGGGAGGCGGAGGTTGCAGTGAGCTGAGATGGCACCACTGCACTCCAGCCTGGGTGACAGAGTGAGACTCTGTCTCAACAAAAAAAGAGAAAAAAGGATGGATACTGTTTTTGCTTAAGTACCATGATTCTCTTCTCCCCACTCCCACTTATTTTTTCTTTTTTTCTCTTTTGAATCTACTCAAGTTGAGAGAGATTTGTGCCTTTGAACTCCATGGCATATTCATCCTCTAACAGCGACACAGAGGACTGCAGCTCCAAATCCATTTCCAACCTGAGCCTCTCTGTGGGCTATTTCCCCTGTGAGGACACAACCTCCTGTGAGGACACAACCTCCTGTGAAGATGCGCCTTCCAAGGGTCCTTCCATCCACTTCCTCCCTCCCATCCAAGGGACATGGGGCACTGAAATGATACGGAGACCCATGAAAAGACAAGACCAAATTGAGGACAAACCAGAGCAGTTTTGCAAACTAAGCATCCTCCTGGCCTGGGATGTGGACGTCGGCTCTGACAACACAGACTCAATAGCTAATAGCCTTCTAAATGGCGACAACCTGTGGATAGACAAGTTCCCAAAAGAAACGACAAAACTGTCTGTCAGCAAACTGGATAATCTTGTGCAAGAGTTTCAGACATTTCTAGAAAATCTGAAAGATGATGAAGATGATGACGCTGTGTTTCCTGAACCTACTCAGAAAGATTTCCAACTGTCCAGAGGCTCCCCTCTGGAAATGGCTCAGGTCAGTAATCAAGAACACGATGCTTGTCAAGACCTGCCCAAGTGCAAACCACCAGAAAATAAAGATGTTATGCAGTCTCCACAGACTCCTCTAAGGCTTAAGGAACATGAGCTGGCTGAGGTGAGCACAGAGATGCCTCACAGGACAGGGGAAAGGCCTGGGTTGAACCACAGAATCTTGCAATCACTGGGAGGCAGGTTCCAGGGGGTCTGAGTGATACCAGTGGGAGACAGATAACAAGCAAAAGAGTCAGGGTGAAGATGTAGGGAAAAGACTGAGGAACGCTGAGAGAGGGTAGCAAGCAAGGAGAAGGGCTAACAACTATATCTCCCTTCCTGCCAAAAACGTGTATCTTCAGTATTAATGATATTAATGGGCATTGAAACTTTGCATTGACATTGGTCTATTATTTTTTTTTTTGAGATAGTCTCGCTCTGTTGCCCAGGCTGGAGCGCAATGGCGCAATTTTGGCTCCCTGCAACCTTTGCCTCCCGGGTTCAAGCGATTCTCCTGTCTCAGCTTCCTGAGTAGCTGGGATTACAGGCATCCGCCACCACATCCAGCTAATTTTTGTACTTTTAGTAGAGATGGGGTTTCACCATGGTGGCCACACTGGTCTCAAACTCCTGACCTCAAGTGATCCACATGCCTCAGTCTCCCAAATTGTTAGGATTACAGACGTGAGCCGCCGTGCTTGGACTACTTGGTATATTTTTGCTAAATGAATGTGAATTCCATAAATGAATAAATGTTGACTTGGCTGTTGTCATGGCTACGTCTACCCAACACATCCTTCATTTTCTTGGCAGATGATAAGTGAGGCAACTGCCAGCCAAAGGACAAGCACTCCAGAGATCTCCTCAATCCTGCCAGAGCGGCCGGAGAAGGACGACACTCCTTCCCACACATGGACCCCGTGCTGTCTTGGGTGGGCCTTCAGCTGGCTGAGGCAGCGTGTCCTCTCCTCTGTGCTGAGGAGGGAGCGCCCTGTAAAGGCCACCAACTGTCCCTATCGGCCAGCACTAAGGAAAAGATGCTTTCACAGAGGCAAGAGAATTCAACCTCAAGAAACCCTTGAATTAGAACATCCCATGTAGACAGATTTTTAAACTTTTTGGAAAGTTTAAAATAATCTATAATAAGGATTCCATTAATAATCCCCATCAGTTTATTTTTTCCTCAATAAACAAAATAAATGTTCTTGTTACTCATGTCTTCCTCTTCCAGCACACCATCTTGACTCACACTGAAAGCATATGGTGCCAGGCACAGTGGCTTTGTGCTCTGGGAGTGCTCTGGGAGGCCAGGGTGGGTGAATCACCTGAGGACAGGAGTTCTAGATCAGCCCAGCCAACATGGTGAAACTCCTTCTATACTAAAACTACAAAAATTAGCCCAGGATGGTGGTGGGCTAATATAATCCCAGCTACTTGGGAGGCTGAGGCAGAAGACTCACTTGAACCTGAAGGGCGAGGTTGCAGTGAGCCGAGAATGCACCACTGCACTCCAGCCTGGGCAAAAGAGTAAAACTGTCTCAAAAAAAAAAAAAATTAAACAGAAATTTAAAAAAAAAAGGAAATAAAAGAAAGCGTATGTGTTGTCTAGAAGACAAATGTATTCTCAGGAAATTTTAAGTAGTATTATGCTTCCTAAATGGAAGTATTCTTTTTCTCTCCTCTCACCCATTATTACTGTATTTTACCCTAGTTTACCTATTTTATGGATTTTAACCTATTCTATCATTAACCAAAATCCCCAATTTCAGTAGGCAGCAGTGTGACCCATCAGATTCCCATGGTGGCAGGACGATTTGGGTTGAACTTGCAGCGCTTGAGCGAGTGGCAGTGGGTATTGAGTCACTGAGGAAATTAGTTTCAATTTCAGGAGATGGGACAGCACTTCTGATATTCCCTGGCAACCTCTTGGGTTCCAGCATGTGTCGCCTTGACTGTAGTAGTGGCCCACTTAGGAGCAATGTGAGGACTCTGAACACCACTTAACCATTCTAAGTCTAGCTGTCCTCATTCAAAAGATGTGGAAGACAGTAATACATACCTCACAGGGTTAGTGTGAGAGTTTATCAGATAACACAAGTTTATGATATAACTGTTGCTGCAAGTACTTTCTTCTGAGGAACTCTCCAGATAACTTGCGAGGGATATCCAAGAGTGAGAGTTAATTAAGGGTCAATTCTCACTGAAATATTTCCAACACAGAGAAGTATTTACCAAAAGTTCAGGATTTTTAGCAAATCTTAACCAAATCCTCTCCCAATCCATCCCATTGTGCCCTCTGAAATTCCTTTGCAATTTTGATCAAACCTTCCACTAAATGTCAACTTCTTTGAGGAAGGCTGTCCTCAGCCTTCTTGACCTGATTCTCATCCCCCGAGCATCATTACCATTCTCCTCCTTCTTTCGCTGGCACTACCAACCTGTGTGACCTTCAGAATTTATGTCACAAAGCATATGACTCTTTAGTTTCAAATTTCTTCCTTTCCTCAATTTCAATTCCCTTATCCATCTCCTTCCTCTCTTCTTCCTTTCTTCTACAAATATTTAGCAAATAGGAGTGACAGATACTTTTCTAGCTCACAAACAAACAAACAAAAAATCTCTCAATCTTTAGGTTCACATGACTTATTTAACAGATAAAGCCAGGTAAACATATGACTATACAGGGTATGAGTGATAATACCCTGCAGTGAGTAAACACTGAGTTCTAATGAAAGACTAACCCATTCAGCATGGGGAGGTTGGTTGTAAAAGGTTTCCTATGTGAGGTTCTTTGAGTTACAAATGAGGTTATTTAAGGTGGAGGACTTTAGCTGACTTTAACTGGTGTGTAGTGGAGGTAGGAGATCTTGGCTGGTTAATAATGCATGTGAAAGACAGTGTGGTGAACATGGCCCAGGAAAGACAACACAGTGGGAGGAAGGAGATCAAAAATCAGGCCCTTTTAGGAATATGTGCTCAAGATCACACCCTGAGAACTCTCACTTTGTCTGCTTCCCTGAGAACACCTGCCCAACCCACAACACACTTCAACACATTCCTCCACCTTTGCCTGATCTTTGACTTCACGAAAATTTGGAGTACTATCACCACACCTGTTCCCTGACTTCTATCCACTTCCCTCTAGATCCAACCATACACCTCCTTCCCCAACTTGGCATGTCTACCACATCTGGTAACGTCTTCCATGCCTTGCCCTTCTCTTCTCCCAGATATTTCAAAAATCGATACTCACAAAGTTCCCCAAGAGGATATTCTTGTTCCTCACTCCAGTCAACACACAAAACCACAGGGATTTCTCTCTCTATTCCCTGACTGTCCGGGAGACTCATCCTTAAAGATCCTGCTATAGGGTTACTATCGGGTAATACTGATGCCTCAGGTAAAGGATCATGACCCTCCTTTAGCTGTCCCCTAGTCCCTGCCCTGCCACCTTCTTGCCAAGACCTGTACTTTTCAGCCCTCTTTATATATCTATTTCACCTGTAGACTGTGAGCTTTAAGGACAAGCACCAGGTTTTAGTTCCTTTTTATTGCAAATCCTAACAAAGTTGGCTGGGCACAGTGGCTCACACCTGTAATCCCAGCACTTTGGGAGGCTGATGTGGGTGGATCATTTGAGGTAAGGAGTTTGAGACCAGACTGGCCAACATGGTGAAACCCTGTCTCTACTAAAAATACAAAAATTGGCCAGGTGTGGTGGCAGGTGCCTATAATACCAACTACTCAGGAGGCTGAGGCAGGAGGATCATTTGAACCCAGGAGGCAGAGGTTGCAGTGAGCTGAGATACCACCACTGCACTCCAGCCTGGGTGATGGAGCAAGGCTTTGTCTCAAAAAAACAAAAAACAAAACAAAAAATCCTAACACAGTGTTTAGTACGGGGTAATCTAGTTCTCTGACTCTATACAATTCTTTAAATGTTTTAAATATATCCTATCTATATAATTTTTAAAAAGTGAAACACAACAGCTTAAAGAGTTGCTATTCTTTAAGTCAAAAGTGACTTGTCAGTAGGGTCAAGAATAGGAATGGAAAGGGAGGGAGACAAGAAGAGAATGTGGCCATCAAGTAGAAGTCAAGTGCGATGATAACCTATTGATTGAGAAATGTATTAAGACCAGAGGAATTTATAAACTAAATTGAAAATTTCATTCAACAAATATGCATGGAGCCTTACTGTTGCTTTAGACTAGACACTATCATAGGCCTGAAAGAAAGATGAGCTCTTACCCTTAAGAGACTTGCAACCAGTTTTGTTATTTTAATTCTTACTCTAGTAATTAAGCTCTAGGACAAACTCAACCAAAATACTTTTTAAAAGACTGTCTACACTAAGTAAAATATGCTGTTCTTTAGTTTCATCAGTGTTTTACAAACCTGCTTGGCAGGTATGAACTTGTCCCTAAAATTTAAGCAATATGCTTTCCAAGCCTTTAATAAAGTAAGCTTTCCGTACACTCTGAGGTTAACTGTCATGCTATATATTAAAATGCAAGACAAAGTATTTTAAAATAGGAAATATCTCAATATCTCTTCATTATAGTGCCAAATATGTTATCAGTCAGGCAAGGTGGCACATGCCTATAATCTCAGCACATTGGGAGGTCGAGGCTCAAGGATCACTTGAGCCCAGGAGAATGAGAGTAGTAAATTCACAGCTCCAGAGGATACATGGGTCCAAATGTAACTGGCCACAAGAATGGTGTCTAAAATCCTCTTATAAAACAAACAAAACAAATGAAGCAAATTGTAAATGATTTCCTAGAGAGTACTGAAGTCCTTTCCCCAATAATAAAGAACAATTTTGTTGACTTAAAATGAATAGTTAATTGCTTCAAAAATATGTCTCCCATTATAAATTGCAAGTGGGAGAACTTACACAGCATGCAGAACAACCTCCAATTTCAAGATGGATGAGTGGGTTTTATATTGCATTGCCTGGAGTCAATCTTTCCCTGCTACTTACTAATACCTCAACAAATGGAACAACACCCTGCTTTCAGGAGCAAAATAAAATCTTCATCAGATGACAGTCACTGAGTCAGCCAGTCATGAGCAGAATGAGTAAAAAGACTCAGGACAAATTCCCCCAAAGGATTATTAGCCTAGATCAAGAAGTAACAAGACAAAACAATTTCCATTTTATCCCACCTTTCAAAGGAATTCCACGGTTTTAATGCCCATTTGATTTCAACATAATATGCTTTATAAGAAACGACTTCCATGACATTTTCAAATGATATGGTAGATATCATCGTTTTTCAGATTGTGGCATTCAAAGAAAATTCATCTCATTACTACTGAATTCTCTCAGTACCAAAGAAAATCAGAATGGCAATTTATTTAGTTTCCCCTCATCTGCATCTATAAAGATTATTATAAGCACAAATCTCTAAAATAAAGAGCTCTCACTCTAGGGTAGAGGTTTTACCGCATACCCAGTCACAAAAGAAAAGAAAACTCTTCAAGCATCTTCATAGTTAGTGTGTGTTTGGATAGTTGTTTTCAAGTTTCACTTTCATCCATCCTTCTGCCATGCATCTGTCTTTGGGGCCTAGATTTTCCCCAAGCAGGAAATGGGCATTGAAAGGACATTTTTTCTTCAGTAAAATGACTTTAGAAATCAAGTTAGTACCATATTGCAACAAGCAACTTAATAATTGATTCATATAATGATTAAAAAAATGGATGCTAAAACAATTGGGTGAATCACTGTCAGGGGAAAAAACATGCACATGGTCTCTAAGATTACCCCACAAACCCTTTTTAGTTATCAAGAGGATTAGGCACCTTTACAATGAAGAGATCTGGTCAACACCGTCTTAGCCAAGTGATTAAACTTATGCTAGCTAACATCACACACCTTCCGAGGAGAAGCAATGTACACTATGTTTAATTTGAATCTAATTATGAGGACACAAACAGTCAGATGAGTCTAGACTATAAGACATTTTACCAGGCAGCTGTCTTTGACTTTTAAAACATGTTAACATCATGAAACACAAAATAAGAAAACACAAAAAAGACAGGGAAACAAGATGGTTCATAAAAGAGACAAAAGAAACATGATAACCAATTGCTATTTGTGATTTTTTTTTTTTTTTGAGACAAGAGTTTCGCTCTTGTTGCCCAGGCTGAAGTGCAATAGTGTGATCTCAGCTCACTGCAACCTGCGCCTCCTGAGTTCAAA